AGCCCTCAGTCCTCTACCCAGGTACCACTGGAACTGGTAGCTGGAGAGAGGCTAAGCAGGCTGCAACTGGGCTAGGAGTTGGGGGATGGGCCAAGAACGTCAGAAAACGAGACCCTACTACTCGTTGCCTACAGCAAATTCATCATCTGTAGAAACATACATAGGCCAAGTGTGAAGGAATTGAAAAACATATTTTATGCAAATAGAACTAAAAACAAGCAGAAGTAGCTATATAGATATCAATAAGATAGACATTGAGTCAATTACTAAAAAGGGACAAATAAGGTCATTATATAATAAGGGAGCAATTCAGCAAGAGCATATAGCAATTATAAATATAGAGGCACTCAAATATATAAAACAATACCATCACACCTGGACCTAAAAGAAGAGACATACTCTAACACGATAATAGTTATGAAATTCAACATATCACTCTCAGTATTGGACATGTCATCCGGATAGAAATCAATAGAAATATCAGGGTTCAACTGCATCACAATGGACCTGACAGACATTTACATAAGATTTTACTCAACAGCCACAGAATACACTCTTCTCATCAGCACACTCAATATCTTTAAAGATCATCATCAATTAGGCTATTAAACAAGCATGAAGAACTTTATAAAAATAGAAATCACGTAAGTATCTTTTCTGACCACAATGCCATAAAATTAGAAATCAACAATAAGAATTGTGAAAAAATATACAGCAATATCAAAAGTAAATACATGCTCCTGGATGAATATAAGATCAATAAAAAATATTAACAAATTTAAAACTTCTTTTGAAACAAATTAAAATGGAAAACACAACATACCAAAACCTATAGGATACCGCAAAAGCAGAGCTAGGAAGAAAGTTTATAGCAATAAGTGCTCAAATCAAAAAAAGAAAGAAAGATGATAAAAGAAACAACTAACAGCACATCATCAGGAGTCAGAAGTAAAGAACAAATTGAATTCAAAAGTCATAGAGGAATGGGACCAGCAGATGGTTTAATAGCTACATCGCTGAACTCCCATGTAGACGACTGTGGTTTGAGTCCCAGACCTGGTGACTTAAACTCATGCAAGGAGCATGTAAGCGCATGCCCAAGATCCCGAGAGGAGAATGGAAGAGAAGGGATTGCGGTGTGGCCATCTCCCCTGGGGAGTGATTTCTCGCTTTCAGTCTCTCTGTCTCTGTCTTTCTGGTGAGTGTATACACCCTATAGGAAAAATCTCTCCAAAAGAAAAAAAAAAGTCATAGAGGAAGAAAAAGATCAGAGTAGAAATAAATAAAATACAGATTAAAAAATTAATGCAAAAGATTAACAAAAGGAAAAAGTCTTTTTCTGAAACAATAAACAAAATTGACAAAGTATTAGCTAGACTAAGGAAAAAAGACAGAAGACCCAAATAAAAATCAATAATGAAAAAAAAAAAGATATACCACAGAAATACAAAAGATCATTAGAGACCAACAAACCAGAAAACTTAGAGGAAATGGATAAACTCCTTGATACATACAGTTTATTAAGATTTAACCAGAAAGAAATACAAAGCCTGAACAGGTAAATAATAAGTAACAAAATTAAATCAGTAATAAGGATCTCCTCCCAACCCACCACATTAAAAAAAAAAAAATCCAGATGGCTTCACTGCTGAATTTTACAAATCTTTTGAAAGCTAATGCTAATCCTTCTCAAACTACTATAAAAGATTCAAGAGAAGGGAATCCTACCAAACTCAACTCATTTTACAAGTCCACCATTACCCTGATACCAAAAGCACACAAAAACACAATAAAACTACAGACCAGGTTCAGGTCAGCCCATGGCATGGTGGTTAAAGCAGTTGGATCCCACATGGCTGACTGCGTGGTTCAAGTTCCAAAGCTGCTGACTTGAGAAACACCCTGGACATGTGTGCACGTGTGTCCAAAATTCTGAAAGGAGTGAGAAATAGAGGAGAAACATTTCAATGTATTTATCTTTTTAAATATTTTTTCCTTTTCAGATTCTCCATCTCATTCCACAAACCATACTGCTTTTGAATTCTGCATCAAAGCAAAAAGCAGATTAGAACATGGAAAAACAATTAGCTTTCTCCCACAGGGAAGAGACAACTTTCTCAGGGATAAGAATGTGTTAGTGTGTCATTCTGACACAATAATGAATTATAATCATCCTCATACTTCCATGAAGTAGTTACTATTAATTTGAAGAATATAATATTTTCTTTTGTCCTAAATAATAGAAACTGACTCTGACTTACTTCAGCAAAACTAAGAAAGAGTTTAAGAGAAAGATGCAAGATAATATAATGGGAAGGAGATATAATGTGCTAAAACAGTCACTGCAAACAAGTTCAATGTTTGGATTTTTATGTCATAAGAACATTCTAATCTTGGTTCTCTAAAGGAAATAATAGACATATGGAAAGGGTAGCAGACAACTAAGAAAAAAGAGCAAAGTGAGGTAAAGTGGTTATTAAAAACCTGGACTCTAGATTAAGGTTTTTTAATTTAAAATTCTGGGCCTACCATTTACTTTCTTTTTTATTTCTACTTTCAAATTGACACATAATCATTATATATATTTATTCATCACACCATGATGTTTTTATGTATGTATATAATATGTAATTATCAAATCAGAATAGTTAGCAAATTCATCACCTCAAAATGTATCATTTCTTTGTGTTGAGAATATTGAAAATCCTTTCTTTTTTAGAGAGATCTTTGCTAAAGGGCACATGTGCTCACTGGAGAGACAGAGAGAGAGAGAAAGCAAGAAATCACCCTCCAGGGGAATGAACATGCCACAATCCCTTCTCCTCCATTCTCCACTCGGGATTTTGGGCATGCACGCACATGCCCTTGGCATGGGTTTTAAAGTTGCCGGATTGGAACTCGAATCCTGGTTGATTACCTGGGAGTCCATCGATGTAACCGTTACACCATCTGCTGGTTGAAAACCCTTGAAATATACAATGTTATCAACTGTAGTCACTCTATTGTGCAATAGTACACTAGAATTTGCTCCTCCTGTCTATTACTTTGCATCTATTGACCAATTATCCTTCGTCCTCCTCGGCCCCATACTCTTCTCAACCCCCAGTAACCACCACCCCCCTCTCTATTTCTGTGAGATCACTATCTTTTACATGCCACAAAAGAGCGAGGTATTTGTCTTTCTATGCCTGGCTTACTTCACTTAACATAATGATGTCCAGATTCATTCATGCTGCAAATGACAGGATTGTATTATGTTTTATGGCTAAATAAAACTGCATTGCTGAAATGTTCTCTATTCATTCATCTATTGATAAGCATGCTGATTCCACACCTTGGCTCTTGTGAATGGTGCTGCAATATTAAACACGGAAGTGTAGGCATTTCTTTGGCATACTGATTTCACTTACTTCAGATATATATCTAGTTATGAGATTGGAGATCATATGGTAATCTTATTTTTAGTTTTTTTGAGGAACCTCCATACTATTTTCCATAATGACTGCTTAATATGCAAATTTCCTAGAGGAAAAGTCTTATTGGTCTTGCTTAAATCATGGGCTTGCTTTTTGTATTATTACATCAGCTATTTATTTCTAAAATAGTCCTGCATAAAAAACAAATTCAAGCCCAGCTGTGGTGGTGGCACAGGTTGTATAGCACCACTTAGTGATACTGGAGCCACATAGGCGACCTGGGTTTGGATTCTGGATAGACCTAAAGAAACTGAATGTGCTCCTGTGAGCCTGTGACTCTGGCTGGCTAGAAGGCTCACAGCACAATGAGACCCTTTCAAGAGTACCTGTCTCTCTCTTTCTGTCCAGAAATAAAGAAACTTGGGGCCAGGAGGTTGCATAGTGGTTAAGGCACTGGACTCTCACATGGTGGACTGCGGTTTGAGTCCCGAACACAGTGGCTTGAATGTTATGCTGAGTGCAGGTGTGTGTGTGCACCCAAAATCCCAAGAGAAGAATGGAGGAAGGGGATTGCAGCATGCCCATCCCTGTGGGGGGGAGATGATTTCTCTCTTTCTGTTTCTCTGTCTTTCCAGTGAGTGCACATGCCCTATAGCAAAAATCTCGCAAAAAGAAAAAAAAGAAAGAAACTTAATAAAATATAAAAAATAAGTAGTTTGAATCAATAACCATCTATTATTATTTATAAATCTGTAGACTGGAAAGTTCTTACCTTGGCTGAGCTCACTTATACTATGACAGCCATTTGTGAGCAAGGTAGGCAGCTCTGCTAACCCTCACTGAGCTCTCTCACAGGTTTGGGTGTTAACTGGCTGCATGTTGATCTCTCAGATTCCTCTGGGCTAACCTCAGCTTGTTCTCATGACAGAGGCAGGAGTCTAAGAGAGAGAGGAAGTTACAATGCTGCCTGAGGCTCAGAGCTAGCATTCTCCCATCACAAAGCTATTTCAGATTCTGGGGGTGGAAAAATAGACCTCTAAATGGAAAATCTGTAAAAAAAAAAAAAAATTGCATTGCAGAGAGGGGGTGGATATAGAGATAGGCAGAGAATTTGAGACAATTTTGCTATTAACTGACCCTAGTCCTAGGCAGTCACTGTCTGAGGGGGCTATAGCAGAATGACTGACACGCTCAGGTGTCATGAGGGCCCCTGTTGTGGTAGAGGGCAGGACACTATGATTATCAGCGCTGCTGGTGCATATGATCAGAAGATCTTTGCCAAAATAGGAGTGGGGTCCTGTTACTGAAAGAAAATAGAATGTACACAAAGCAGCAAACCAAGAAATGTCCAAAACAAAGTGAATTATAAATGAATATGTTTTAAAATATTTTCGTATGAAGATATTGAACTGATTCAATGTTTTATTTCTGAGTGAACTAAACTTGAAGCAACTAAGGAAAATAGCATTACTCAGAGGCCCAACACTTTCATAGCAATAGGCTGTAACAACATTTGGGTTTAATCACTACATATTTTAAATCCAGTTCTTTCAAGTTTCCTCTTTGCTCTTTGTCTATGATCACCTACTTCCAATGAGGCCAATACTTTCCAAACATTCTTCTCACAGCAGCCTTCACCTCCTTGTTCTGCAGGCTGTAGATGAGGGGATTCAGCATGGGAGTGAGCACACTGTACTGCAAAGAGAAGATTAACTCCAAGGGAGAGCCTGAAGCCGGCATGAGGTAGCGTAAACCCGCTGAGCCAAAATACATGATCACCACAGTGAGGTGGGAGGAGCAGGTGGAGAAGGCCTTACTTCTGCCTGTGGTGGAGCTGATGCTCAGAATGGTAGAAACAATGCAGACATAGGAAGATAAAATCAGGAGAAGAGTTACAAAGGCAAGCATGATAAAAGACCAGAGCATGACAGTGATATTGGTTGAGACATCAGAGCAGGAGAGAATGAAGAGAGGGGGAAGCTCACAGATATAGTGATGGATAGTTCTGTGCTCACAGAAGTCCAAATTCACAGCTAGAAGGATGTTGATGAGTGAGTTCAGGAAGGTCAGGCCCCAGGAGCCCCACACGAGCCCCTCACAGAGTCGATTGCTCATCATCTGGCCATAGAGCAGAGGGTGGCAAATGGCAACATAACGATCATAGGCCATGACTGCAAGCAGGCAGGCCTCAGTGGCCCCAATAGCAAACACGAAGAAGGCCTGGATCAGGCATCCCTCTACAGAAATTGTTTTTGTCTTAGACATGAGATTCTCCAGCATTTTGGGCACAGAGATTGATGAATAGCAAAGATCCAGGAAAGAGAGATGACCCAGGAAGAAGTACATAGGGGAGTGGAGGTGAGCATCGGCCATCATCACCAGCAGCATCATTAAGTTCCCTGTCAGGGTTAGGAGGTAAATCACAAGGAACAGCACAAAGAGCACAGCTTGGACCTGGGCATCAGTGGACAGCCCAAGGAGGATGAACTCAGTGATGGCACTGAAGTTTCCCATTGCTACCTAGTGGAACTTCTCTTGGAATGCAAGAAAGAAAAATAACAAATTTTCCTCTTATATCAAGAAAGAAAAATAATAAATTTTCCTCTTATATCTCCAATTTATTCAATGCTTATTTTCCTACTTTAAGTATATTATTTTTTGATTACTTTGGAATCCAAACTTCATTAACTGTTGGTCCAGACTCTATAACATTATATAAATATATATATATATATTTACACACACATACATAAATAGATGTAGATAGACAGATGATAGAGTGATAAATAGATGACAGTTTTTGCCATAGGGCATGTGTGCTCATCAGAGAAAGACAGAAACAGAAAGTGAGAAGTCATCCACCAGGGGGGATGGCCACACTGCAATCCCTTCTCAGGAGTTTGGGCACACACAAAAACACCTGGTGTGATTTTCAAGCCACCAAGTCTAGTACTCGAACCATGGTCGGCCATGTGGGAGAACCATGGGTTATTCTGAGTAAGCTCTGTCTTCCTGCATGAAATCCCTGGTATAAGTCCCCTGTATTGAAAAAATGCAAGCAAGGTTGAAATACAAGGGTTCTGGAAAAAGATTTCATTGTAGAAATTTGTTGTAAAAGTTCTTGTCTTTTGTTCCTTACCCTGTCCTGTACACTATAATACATGCCTCACTGGTGGGCAGAGATGGGGGATGGTTACAATGGCAGAATAGCCCACTATCCGGAGTTCATAGAAGGGAGGTATTGGATTAGGAGCACTAATATGATAAGGGGGTTGAAAGTTACACTCTGTATCATCACTTCAGCCCTTGATACCCTGGATAGCTCTCAGACATGGTTTTCTGATTTCCCACAGGTTCTCAGGAAATGTCCATGTTTTGCTTCAGGGAGGTGAGAAGAACAGGGCATGGGGAATAAAAATAGGCTTGGGGAAAGATACAAAAATCCTATTTCTACTATGTATTTATTGTGTGAACTTTGTCAAACTTTTAACAAAAGGTTTTAACTTTTAACTTTCCTCCCCCATTTTCCTCAAATAAAATAAGGATAACAGTATTATTTTCAAAATTGTGAGAATTTGGTTAGATAGCTTATGAACACTGCTCAGCAGTAAATTAAATGCACCATCAATCTTACATTTCCAATCTGTTTACAACCCTTAATTTAATTGCCCAATATCTCCTCAAAGATAAATAAAAATAAGGAAACAGAAATAAGATATAGGTAAGAAGCAAGAATCGCAGTAATGGTTTGCTTTGTGAGTGAAGCAAGTTGGGTTATAGAACTCAAAAGAGAAAGAAAGAACTATAGCAGGGAAATGAAGTATTGAGAGAGGGAGAGAAGGAAGGAAAATAAGAGACTGGGAGACAGCCAGGAGAAACAGGTGATACCTTGTTCTGTCTTCTGCAACTGAAAAGACTATCCCGCTTCTCTGCCTTGATGGGCAAACAGGTTTGACCTTAGGAAACCGTCACACAGCTATCCTAGTCTAGGGACAGATAATCCCTTTTTTTCTGGGAATATCTTGAAAAAAGGGGATCATATTAACTGAAGAGGAATCCCTTCCGGCAAAATACTCAGAGCCATTTCTGAACACAGACTTACTCATGCACTCCAAACAAGAGATCCATTATAAATCAAGAAGCTACAATCCTAGTCAGTTATTTGAGCACCTTGTTTCATACTGTTTCTTTCCTAGTCACACATTGATTTTTTTCCCTTTATAGCTTCCATACTATCCTAAGTACCGTACCTGAGCGTTATTATGGAAAAAAAGGGTTCTCAGGTCTAACCAACAAAATGTACCTTTAGGTATAAGTAGGCAATAGGAGGGTAGAGAATTGGATCCCAGAAGATACCTGAATTGGTGGCTTGAATTCCTTGGTGACACTGACTGGAGCCAAGTTTCCAACTCATTAATTTAGCTTTTCTTTTTTTAATATATTATTGTTATCCTATGTATTTTTGTTTTTGTCTTTTGTATATTCATACTCCTAAATGTATGACATTGTTTCATTATTAGTCCCTGCAAGGTCATCTTTATTCATTTTTATGCTCACTGCACAACCTCATTTTTTTTTAATTTGACTGTGCTCTTGAATATTGTTGGTTTGTATGTAAAAGGTATTATATAAGCAGAATACTCCAATTTTTATATTTTCCACTCATCTCTGTGGTTTTAACATCTTATAACAATAATGTCTCTAGTCTACCATTTTGCGGGGTTTTTATTTTTTACTTAATTTATTTATTGTAAGACAATTTTTTTCTATAGAGTGTGTGTGCTCACCAGAAAGACAGAGAGATAGAAAGCAAGAAACCAACCCCCCCCCCCAGGGGGAATGGTCACACCACAATCCCTTCTTCTCCATTCTCTTCTCAGGATTTTGGGCACGCGTGCACATATACCCGGCATGAGTTTGAAATTGCCAGGTCCAGAACTCAAACAGCAGTTGGCCATGTGGGAGTACAACATAACCATTACACCATCTGTTGGTCCTTTATTTACTATTATTTTTCAATGTGCAGTAGGGCACGTGCACTCAATAGAGAGAGAAAGAAAAAGTGAGAAAACAAGCCACCAGGTCTGGGACTCCAACCATAGTCTGCCATGTGGGAGCCCAGTGCCTTAATCACCTTGCCACCTGCTGGCTGCTAGTCTACTGTTTTTAACTGTTGCACGGTGCTCCATGGTATGTATCCATCAACATATCTCATCTTTATACTTTTCTTGTTGATTCCCATAATTTGATTCCAAGTTTCTAATTCCATTCCACAAAAAAAAAAAAAAAAAGGAAATTCTTATGTGTACTCTTTTATAGACCATATGTAAATTTGTGGACTTACAAGGACAACTAAAGCTATTTAATTTATGACATATATTATTTCTAGCCAGTGGAAAAGGAATTAATATTTATAAATATTGTTGCCTACATGACTATAAATATATAAAAGAATACAGCTAGACATCATAATACACTAAATAGAAATAATTAACAGTTAAATAAAAAAACACAAACTAAGGAAATAAGAGATGATATATGCAATTAAGCAGTTAAATCAAAACAGAACATCTACATGCTATAGGAAAAAGGCTGACAGATTTTTTTATAAGTATTTTATTTATTTATTTATTCATTTATTTGTTTGAATTTGACCAGAGAGGGACAGAGTGAGAGAGAGAGAAAGAGAAAGTGAGAAAGCAAGCTGCCAGGTCCAGGACTGGAACCACAGCCAGCCATGTGGGAATCTAGTGCCTCTATCCACCATGCCATTTGCTGACCCCAAAGGCTGACTTTTTTTTTTGTAGAGGTTTTTACTATAGAGCGCATGTGCTCACAAGAAAGACAGAGAGACATAGAAAGCGAGAAATCACTCCCCAGGGAGGATGGCCACACTGCAATTCCTTCTCCTCCATTTTCCTCTCAGGATCTTTTTTTTAACATCCTGCCTCTCTATTGTTCACTGCTGTCTTTATCCTCTTCTCTCTCTTTTTTTTTTTATACTTTGTTTTTTATTATAAATTTTTTTTTCTCATCACAACACACATATGAATTTTCCATCCAAAATACACTGTGCATTGGCTCAATCAAGCACATCAACATATATGTTCTCAGCAAATGATTTCCCAATTTTTGTGTCCTGCATACCTTGCCTTTTGTTTTGCCATCCTAGGTTCCCCATCCCCACCCTCTGCCATGTCCCATCTTCCTCCTGCATTGTCCCTGACATTCATGATTGCCCTCAATGGCTTCCGCCCCCCCCCCCATTCAATTGTTCTACCAATGAACTCAATTTGTCTA